AACTCATACAAAATTGTCTCCATCCCTTGTTCAACCACCCGAATTGGAAAAAGGTCTTACCTCAACACTTGAAGTATGCCTACTTGGGAAAGAATGAAACCCTTCCGGTTATCATCTCAACTCATTTAACCGAATTTGAAGAAGAGCAACTCCTCAAGGTGTTGAAGGAGCATAAAGAAGCCATGGGTTGGACGATTGCGGATATCAAGGGTTTGAGCCCCTCCACTTGTATGCACAAGATCTTAATGGAGGATGAATGCAAGCCTAGTAGAGACGCGCAAAGAAGGCTAAATCCACCAATGATGGAAGTTGTGAAGAAAGAGATACTAAAGCTTATTGATGCGGGGATGATCTATCCAATCTCGGATAGCAAGTGGGTGAGTCCGGTGCAAGTCGTACCAAAGAAGACGAGAATCACGGTGGTCGAGAACAACAAAGGTATGATGGTCCCCACCCGTGTGCAAAACGGGTGGAGAGTATGTATTGACTACCGCAAACTCAATGCGAGCACACGAAAAGATCATTTCCCATTGCCTTTCATTGACCAAATGTTAGAAAGGTTGGCCGGGAAATCCCATTATTGTTGTCTAGACGGGTACTCTGGTTTTCACCAAATCCCAGTGGCACCGGAGGACCAAGAAAAGACAACATTTACATGCCCATTTGGTACTTTTTCATACCGGAGAATGCCATTTGGATTGTGTAACACCCCGGCCACTTTCCAACGTTGTATGGTTAGTATCTTTTCGGATTATGTTGAAAACATAATTGAGGTTTTTATGGATGATTTCACGGTACATGGCAACTCTTTTCAAGAATGTTTGACTAATCTCACAAAAATTTTAAAAAGATGCATTGAAACAAACTTAGTTTTGAATTTTGAGAAATGTCATTTCATGGTGAGTCAAGGTCTCATTTTGGGTCACATTGTGTCTAAAAAAGGAATTGAGGTAGATAAGGCCAAAATTGATGTTATTCAAAGCTTACCTTACCCGACCTGTGTTCGGGAAGTTCGTTCTTTTTTGGGCCATGCAGGTTTCTACCGAAGGTTCATCAAGGATTTTTCAAAGATAACAAGACCAATGTGCCAACTCTTGCAAAAGGAGGTCGATTTCGAGTTCAATGAGGCGTGCAAAGAAGCTTTTGACAAGCTCAAAGAGTTGCTTACATCCGCTCCCATCATGCAAGCACCAAATTGGGATCTTCCTTTTGAGATCATGTGTGATGCAAGCAATTATGCGATTGGCGCCGTTTTGGGTCAAAAGAATGGGAAGGCCTCCCTTGTGATTTGTTATGCATCAAGGACACTAGACAATGCCCAAAGCAACTACTCTACCACGGAGAAGGAGCTATTAGCCATAGTGTTCGCCTTGGAGAAATTTAGACAATACCTACTTGGTACCAAGGTCATAGTGTATTCGGATCACGCAGCTCTTAAGTACTTGATGACGAAGAAAGATGCAAAGCCGAGACTCATCCGGTGGATCCTACTGTTACAAGAATTTGACTTGGAAATCCGGGACAAGAGCGGATGCGAGAACCTTGTTGCTGATCATCTATGTCGGATCACTTCAAATGAAACTCCTCTCCCATTGCGGGACGAGTTTCCGGATGAGCATCTCTTTTCCCTTACCCAATCTATTCCTTGGTATGCCGATATCGTTAACTTTTTGGTCACAAAAAGGTATCCCGACACATTCACGCGTGCTCAGAAAGACAAGTTGAAAAGTGATGCAAAATACTATGTGTGGGATGAACCTTATTTGTGGAAACATTGTCCCGATCAAATCATTAGGCGATGTGTGCCCCAACAAGAGCACCAATCCATTTTGCAATTCTGTCATGAATTTGCTTGTGGGGGACACTTCGGACCTAGCCGGACTTTGAGAAAAGTCCTTGAATGTGGATTATTTTGGCCAACCATGTCACGCGATTGTTATATGTTTTGCAAAAGTTGTGAGCGGTGCCAAAGGACGGGAAACATTTCGCAAAAGAACCAAATGCCCCAAAATCCAATCCTTGTTTGCGAAATTTTTGACGTATGGGGGATTGATTTTATGGGCCCATTTCCCGTATCATTTGGCAACGTTTATATTTTACTCGCGGTTGACTATGTTTCTAAATGGGTTGAAGCCAAAGCCACAAGATCGGACGATGCCAAAACGGTTATCGAGTTTTTAAAGTCTAATGTTTTTGCGAGATTTGGTGTGCCTAGGGCTTTGATTAGTGATAGAGGGACGCACTTTTGCAACAAAATGATGGAGTCTCTATTGAAGAAGTATCACGTGACTCATCGTGTCTCCACTACCTATCACCCTCAAACGAATGGTCAAGCGGAGGTCTCGAATCGTGAAGTGAAGTCTATTCTAGAGAAAATGGTGAATCCGACAAAGAAGGATTGGAGTTTGAGACTTGACGATGCCTTATGGGCATATCGGACCGCTTATAAGACCCCCAATTGGAATGTCGCTCTTCAGATTAGTTTTCGGCAAATCTTGTCATCTTCCCGTCGAGTTAGAGCACCGAGCATTTTGGGCGGTCAAGAAATGCAACTTCGACATTGACGAGGCTGGAAGGCATAGGAAACTTCAACTCCAAGAGCTAGAAGAATTGAGAAACGAATCCTATGAAAACGCAAGGATTTATAAGGAGAAAACGAAGCTCTTCCACGACAAGTCCATCACCCGGAAGAATTTTGAACCGAAACATAGGGTCTTACTTTACCATTCACGGTTGAAGTTATTCCCGGGCAAATTAAGATCAAGGTGGATTGGCCCATTTGTTGTAATAAAGACTTTTGACCATGGAGCGGTGGAAATCCAAAGTGAAGAAACGGGACATATTTTCAAAGTTAACGGGCACCGATTAAAGCCATTCTATGAAAGTTTTAATGCAAGCGTTATTGAAGTCATCCACTTGGATGTCCCGGAGTGTTGAACCAAGCTAGAAGGACGTCTCGCCTAAGACGTTAAAGAGAGGCATTTTTGGAAAAGCTTTATGCTTTCGTGTTTCTACATCGAATAAAGAAGTTTTGAAAATGTTTTGATGTGTCTTTTGAAGTCATTTTTGAAGAAACCAAGAGTTCCTAGGTGTTTGGGGCATTTGGGATCAAGAACTAGTGAAGAAACAGAAGAAAACAGAGAAAAATCGATTTCCGGGAGCAGGAGCCTGCGCGACCCGCGCACGGGTGCGCGGCTGGTGTGCGCGGCCGGTCTTCAGCTTGCAACAAAAACCAGGGACCAAACTGCATGATATGCGCGACCCGCGCGCCCCCTCTGCGCGACCCGCGTGCTGTCCTGACGACCATTCCATACTTTGTTGACCAGCTTTGACTTTCGTTGACCAGGTGGTTTAATGAGTTGACCAACATTGACCGGGTGTTGACCACACTTGAATATGGATTGAAAACCTCCAGAAACTCTCCTTCTTCATTTCATTCTCTTAAAATCCTCTCATTCTCTCTCAAACTCTCAAGAACACATAAACCCACTTTTCACAAAAATTTGATTTCCCGGAGTTCCACCGGTCGGAATACGACGAGACCACCACCATTCTTCACCATTTTCCGTGCTCTACAAACCCCACCTGAAGTTTACTCCGATCCATCACCGGGTCTAGGGGCGCCACCACCACCCAACTCGCCGCTTTCCGGCCATTTTCCGACCAACTCCTACCACCTCTCGCAATTCCGACACCACCAAAGTGTTTCTTTTTCAAGGGTCTTTACATCTAACCAAACAAAACCTCAAAATCTCACCAAAAATTTTCCCATAATTTTTGAGCCACCACGAGCCGCCGCCGGATTTTTCACACAAATCAAGTTGAAAATATCCCTTCAATGAACAAGTCTTGCGTTTAGGCACCCACGAATAACCAAAGCTTGGGGTGCACGGTAGCGGATTCCGGGCTCAAGTTCAATTTTGGGATAATACGGGTATTCTCTTTCCATGGTTTTTATTACATTGCATTGTTTCAATTCTATAATTGCATCCAATTATGCTTTGGAAATTGCCTAAGATCGTTAGTTGTTGCCCGGTTTATTTGGAAACATTGAGATTGGTTAATTTGCTTGGAAATTTGTCCAAAAATTGTTTAAACTTTGGTTGGGATTTTCTCATTTTGTCTCATATTGCTGCCGGATTTTTGTTGGGATTATCAAATTAACCGAGTAGTGTTGTTGAAATCATTTTACATTGTCAAAAGTTGGGTGTCATTATTTCTTGGATTTTTTTTTGTGTTCGGTCTAAAGATAGTTGTATTAATTTGAGAGTGGTGAGGTGAGGGATTACGTTGGTGAAGTTGTTTTTGATATTGTAGGTTTCGAAAATGGGCAAAACCACGGCTCGGACACGCACCCATGGATCATCGATCGATCCTAACCCGCAAAAGGATGTCGCCGGTCCATCACGCAAAGCAGCCGGTAAACGAAAAAAAAAGAGGAGAAGAGGGAAGCGATCCTTCCCTTACAAATGCTGAGATCAAAACCTATCGCTCCAATCTTCGGGGTCGCGCAATCCGGCCGACAAAATTCTACCATAAAAAGTCTATGAAAAAGCTTGGGGTGCATGATGGTGTACACAATTTGTTCCTAAAACTCGGTTGGCGTGGTTTTCTTCGACTTTGTGACAGAACTTACGAGGAACCCACAATGGAATTTCTTAGAACATATGCACGAGATGATGACACGAAAGTCCTCAAATTCCAATTGAAAGGTGAGCATCATAGGCTCACATACGACGAGCTTGATTCTATCATGGGTATAGACGATCCATACCGCATCAGCCCCCAAAATCAAGAGTACCAAGATTTTATGCGTTACCCTGATGCAAACTTTTGGATGCAAATTTCTTGGTCTCGCAACCTTCAACCCAAGCCGACAGCGAGCCAAGCACATCATTCACCCCTGCTGGCGAATTGCTCACCGAGTCCTTACGACGAGTATTTTCGGGCGTCTCGAGCCCGGTCAAATCAACAGATGTGAGCTATTTTTCCTCCGAAGCATGAGGCGTGCACTCCCCCTCAGTTTTTCAGGCTTCTTTTTAGACAAATGTGACTCCATACGCCAACGTCCCACCGGGGAAATTTTCATCGGGGGACTTATCACGATCATAGGTCGAGCCGTCGGCCTAGACTTCCCGGATCCCGAGTACATACCTGTCGACACCCCACCGAACTTCCTGCTAGATTGTGACACTCTCATCCGGATGGAGATGTTGCTCGATCGGGGAACCCGCACGTACAGTTGGTTAGACTCTGACAAAGCCCCGGTTTACATCCTGCCAAGTTGGATCGGTTCTTCATTCGATACAGGCGACCCCGACACTTGGCTTCCTCCAGATCAGTTAACCAAGCAGGTGTATTCCCAGAATTCAGTGATGATGAGGGTGACGACGCAGAGGAACAAGAGGAAGAAGATGACGAAGAGGACGACGAGATGCCCGAAGCTGAGGACCATTTTGACCAGCCCTCGATGCAGCAGCCGATGTTTCAGCATGATCAATTCCAGGCCCCTCCACAACATTTTGACCAGCCGCATTAGCAGGAGGGACACGAAGTCCCACCATATTTCCCCCCCCCCCCCACGTTCTTTGACCAATTTGCCACAATGTTCTCCACGGTGCAGCGTATCGACGCCCAAACGCAAGAGAATTCGAGAGCCATCCTAGATGTGGCAAGCCGTGTTGATCGATTGGAGCAGTCCTCCTCTCACACTTCCCGCCAGGTCCAGGATATGTGGGACTACCACTATCGCCACGGGCATTTCCCGCCGCCCGACCCTCCGATTTAGGTCCTTTCCGCCCTTTCCTTAAGCATTGAGGACAATGCTTGTTCTTAAGCTTGGGGTGGGGCATTTCCCTTATTTTTTTACTCTTTTTCATGCATTTTTAGTTAGGTTGCATAACATATTAGTTTAAGTTAATTTGCATTCATTTTTTTTATTTTATTAAATTTCAAAAAGATTTTATTTTCTTCTTTTCCACTTTTTATTTTTGCATAACATTTAGCTTAAGACATTAGCATTCATGCATTTTTGTTGTCTGTTTATTCTCACCTCTCTTGGATGCCATGGAACAGGTTCACAGTTATTGTATCATTATTGGTCCAGGATCTTGTTGCTATCTCACCCATCGAATCGGGACCACTAGCTGCAGTTTGGGATTTCATACTTGGGATCAGATGCTGGTAGCTTAAAGGGGTAAGTGATCATGGACAGGTAGTTTTCATGAAGAATTATGCATACAATACTAACAACTGTAGGATATACTATAGCAATGGGTGTTCTTAGCCTTGCGGTCACTACCGCGGAGAGGATCACACTTGATCATGTTTGAACTGTTAGGATGAAGCATTGGTGCTTGTCCCCGAGTAGAATCCATATCCGGTCTCTTTACATCACCATATCTTTTTGCGATTTTCTTAGAATTTAGAGAGTCTTTTAGTCCACATTTGGACATTTTCATTATCTTTGAAAAACCACAAGTTTGAAAAGGAGCTTACATTACATCTTTATGCTCCACACATGGTCATTTTCACACTTAGGCCATTCGGATTATATCATTACCCTTTCGGTTCCACCTACACACCTTTGGGAACCAAATTTTGAGTCAAAGGGTTTTAAAAAAAAAAAAAAAAAAAAAAAAAAAAAAAAAAACAAAAAAAAACAAAAAAAAAACAAAAAAAAACAAAAACAAAATGAAGCATGCAAATTTTCAGTTGCAACTATCTTAGATAGGTGGCCGGTTCAATTATTGAACAAATTTCCCAACATCTTGGTCACCCGACGTTTGATATTCATTTGTATAGATCTGTTTTATTGTATATAGATCGAGTTGTTATTTTTTTTCTTTCTCACAAATTGGTGATGTTAGAGAGACTGTCGAGTCGGATACTACGGGAGGTTTGGGCCAACACTAAGTGAACTGATTCCTACAACGGTGCCGAGCGATTAAACCTAGTTACACATGAGAGAAACCGGCAGATGTGAGATCAGAGTGTGCACTTAAAGAAGAGCTCCACCCGAGCCCATCCAGTTGCTTTCTCCCTACTACAGATGTTCTTCATTGTATACATGTTCCATTGAGGCTGCGACTGCTCATCCCTCCTTACTCACCTAAAGGAGTTGTCCTGGCTGTGGTTTATGGTTCCATTGTCATCGGATGAAAAAGTTGTGAGATAGCAGCGAAATCAATTCTGACCATGTTGACTAACGTCGAATAGGTTCCATGGTTCTATCCATTCTTTTTATTTCTAGGGTAGTTCATCCCAAGTTCATTTAGTCTTGTCTTACTTGAGGACAAGTAAGGTTTAAGCTTGGGGTGATTTGATAGCTTCATTTTATTTACTTCTTTTTATAGTTTATTTTAGCATATTTCATTCATAACTTAGATAATTTCCATGCATATTTTCCTTTTTGTTATTTTATGACTATTTCGGGTACTCTCGAATCTTGTGAGCATAATTGCAGGTTTTCGGGTCTAGCGGAGCGGGAGTGTTCGGGACGTGTAGGAGGCGATGAGATTTGGTAGACAAAAATGACGTTGGGCTTGATGGGTAGTGGAGATGATGCATGGAGTGATCTTGATGATTATTTGAAGACTTGGAGAGAAATAAACTTTAAATTTGCAAGATGCGGGGGAATATTCAAGCGTATGAAAATTATTAATCGGGCGAGTTCACGAGCTTTGGAGGATTTGGAGAGGTCAAATTGGGCTTTAAATGAAGAAAAACTTGAAGAAAATGGGCTAGGAGGTGATTGGATTCGATCTGGGCTAGTGGGATATGCTTCAGAGGCCCAAAATCTCAAAGAAGCCCATGTCAGGCACCACCCGCGCAACCCACCCGCGCAGCAGCACGCGGGTCGCGCAAGGCCCTGCAGGGGTAATTTCGGAAATTCCATTTGAAGCTATTTGAGGAAGGTTGGTGCCCATCTTTTGCATACTCTTGACATCCGATTTTTGGAGATTCTCTCTGGAGTTTTGAAGACTTTTGAAGGCCAAGAACCCTTGAAGAACATCATATTTTTACCTCTTGATTCTTGCTTAATGTTTGGTACAATTTTCTTTAACTTTGTTTCTTTGTGTTTAGCCATGCTTGGCTAAGCTAATCTTGGTTGACTTTTGGTTAATCCTTTGAACTTTTGTTGAATGTTGAAGAATCCATGAACATGTTCTTGAATCTTTATGGAATGTTTTGTGTTTTAACATCTTATCATTACTTGTATGTTTTAGTTCATGAGTTTAAATGTGTTTGTGGTGATTAGTTGGCTAATTTCTTGATTAAGTAAAGGATCCTCAAATTAGCAAGCAACAAATGATTTTTGTGTTGTTTTGCTTCACACAATCATAAAAACATTTCCTCCAACATGGTGGTGAAAGCATTTGACCCCTCTTGGATTTGGTGACTTTTTGGTTCTTAATGCTAGTTGACTTTCACTAATTACATGCTATTTGGAATTAGTGACTTTGACTAAGGAAATTTTATGAGCTTCTCTAGCCATTTCAACAATTAAGAAAAGTCTAGGTAATCTCAAGCTCCTTGGATTACTATAGCCAAATTGAGGATTTAAAACAAGTATTGCACCATTGAATTCTAATGATATGTTCATCAAAAGTCAAAGTGAGAAAACTTTAAGTCAACCATCTTTCCCTTATTGATTTTACATCAAATTTTATTTTTGTTGCAATTGTCTATTTAAATCATAGTTAATTCTAGTTTGTTTCAAGTATTTCAAAACATCAAAACCCCCATATTTAATTTATTGTCATATTCCAAGTATTTTACAAAAAGATTTTTCATAGAGTTATCAAATTGAACCAATCTCCGTGGATTCGATCCCTTTACCACTATACACTATTTTAGTGTGTAATATTTAGGGTTATTATTTGTGTTGGCCTCGACAACCACCATTTATCAAAAACCCACTTTTTATATCATTCGGCGTCGTGTCGGTTTTGTCGCGAATCTTCGGTTGGTCATAACTTCTTCGTTATAACTCGGATTTCGACGAGGTTTTCGCCTACAAGTTTCTAATGAGATTCTCTACAACATAAAATAATAAAATTTTAATTATTTAAAATTTTATATTTTCGCTAAATTTCACTATTTTGCTTTTAATTGGAATCTCATAAGACTTCCAATATTTTCTGAGTGATTCTAAACATAGTTTTACTTTATTTCTAGTAAAAACCATTTGTTAGAACTCAACACTCAATTTCACATAGTATTTCATAATTTTATTTATTACAAAACACGATTTCAAAACGTGTATGTTACAAATAGCTCCTCCTTTTGAGGATTTCGTCCCCAAAATTACAACGATTAAAATAAGTGGGAATATTTTGATTTTATCTCATTCTTATTCTCCCAAGTATAGTTTGGGCCTCGATGTTGTTTCCACTTGACAAGCACCAATTCTACTTCTTTATTGCGTAGCTTAGTAGTTCTTTCATTCATGATTTCTTCAGGCTCTTCAACATACCTTAACTTATTATCCAATTTCACCTCGGATAATGGATCTGTCTTATCGTAGATGCTCAAGCATTTTCGCAAATAACTTACATGAAACACATCATGAATACTTACCAAATCTTCAGGCAATTCCAAGCAGTATGCTTTCTTACCAACCGTTCTTTCTTCCAAAGTAATATAACTCCTTTTCATGAAATTCCTTCAGTATTACTAAATCATCCACCCGGAATTCTATGGGTCGTCTCCTCGTTTCTGCATAGGAAATTTATCGATCCTGGGCTGCTTTCATTCTTTCTCGGAAAAATTTGTATCTTGTCAGTGATGTCTTGAATAATTTCAGATCCTCCAAAGATCTTCCGTCTTATGTCACGCCAACATATTTGAGTATGACATTTACGCTCATACAGTACTTTATATACCTTTAGTATATTTTCTACTATTTGGATTGCTCTCTTCTTCTGACCATTTGTCTGAGGATGATAAGTTGTACTAAGAGCAACTCGAGATCCTAATTCATGCTTCATTCTCGCCCAAAAGTTAGGAGTGAAACGAGTATCATAGTCGGAAATAATCTTTAGTGGCGCACCATGACTTGCCACAATTTTGTCTAAGTAACTTACGCGTATTTCTCCAATGGAGTCGTTTCACGTGTGGCGAGAATATATGCATTCTTCATCAGCCAGTCAATAATTATCCAAAGGTTATCATTCACAGTTTCCTTCTCGTCTTTCAAGGTACTAACTGTATAAGTCGGATAAGTAGAATATCCCTTCGACATAGTTTATGAGTTTTTAAGAAAGAAGTTATTATTTTCAACGAAGACATGAATAGAATCTTCTCTTTCGATATGGATGCATATCATCTTTGTAGCACAAGAGCTTTGCGTGGTTCTTTAACAACCAATCCATGTCGAGAATAATATCAAATATAGGAATTAGGTTAGCAGGAAGATTAGAACTTTCAATTCCTATAACACTAACTCTATAGGCTTTATCAGCAAGTAATGATATATTTCCTATGAAATTATTGGACAATTGCGTAACAAGCAATTTGAAAAGAATATGAGAATTT